TGATGTGCTGTTCCAGTCGTTTTTGGATAATCTTCAGTAAAATCTTGCTTGCATGTGAAATCAGTGAGATTGTTGTGTAGTTTCCACATTCTGTTGGGTCACCTTTCTTTGGGATAGGACCAAATATCGCTCTCTTCCAGTCAGTTGGCCAAGTAGTCAGTAAACTTACTATGCAGCCTATCAAGTGAGATCCATGTGTAAAGTCATAATTTATGTCTTTTTAAAAAGATATGTGTAGTGAATAAATTAATGAAAATACAAAATTCAATACTTCTACTTTCAGCCTCATTTTTATAACCAAGCCCATATTTTCCAACTATTATTCCTTCCTCACTATTTCCAACTTTTATATTCAAGTCACCAGTTATCATTAATGCATCTTGTTTGAATACATGGCCAATTTTGGACTGTGAGATTAAGTGCTTAACAGTTTCTGGGAACACACAGAATCACTGTGCCAAAAAAAATAACTGATTAACACAAAAATTTCAGGAAGTACCATATGAACAGGATCCAAAGGTAATGAATGAGGAAGTAGAAGCTGCATGGAAGACACTGGCAAAAAATAAGGCCCCATAAATCAATGGAATACCAATTGACTTGTTTCAATTAAGAGATGCAGCCTTGGACGTGCTCAGCAGTCTATGCCATGAAATTTGGAGGACAGCTCTCTGGACAACAGATTGTAACAGGTCCATATTTGTTACCATTCTCAAGAAAGGTGATCCAACTGAATGTGGAAAGTATAAAAAAATATTAAAATCACGCACAAGCAAAATACTTCTGAAGATCATTCAAAAACTTCAAGCAGGATTTAAAAGAGGCTGTGGCACCAGGGACATCATTACTGATGTCAGATGGATTCTGGCTGAAAGTAGAGAATATAAGAAGAATATCTACTTGTGCTCTATTGACTAGGCAAAGGCATTTGACTTTGTGGATCATAACAAGTTGTGGTGGACATTGAGAAGAATGGAAATCCCAGAGCACTTAATTGTGCTCATGTGAAACCTATACTTGGACCAGAAGGCTATTGTGTGAACAGAGCAGAGGAACACTTAAGAAGGGAGTGTGTCAAGGTTGTATTCTCTCTCCATGACTATTCAATCTGTAAGCTGAGAAAATAATTTAACAATTGAGGAGGATTTGAAGCACTTGTTGCAAGAGATCAAGCAATACAGCCTTCAATATGGATTGCATCTCAAGAAAACAAAGATTCGTACCAGTGAGCTGATATGCAACGTCATGGTGGATGGAGAAGATATTGAAATTGTCAACAACTTCATCTTACTTGGATCCACAAAAAACACCCTTGGTATCAGCAGTCAGGAAATCAGGAGAGGTACAAGAAAGTCTGCAGTTAGGGACCTCTCCAAATTATTGAGGAGCAATAATGTCCATTTGAGAACTAAGGCACATCTGATTCAGGCCTTGGTCTTTCTGATCACAGTAGGAATGACAAAAGAAAAACGGATGTCTTTGAGCTATGTTGTTGGAAAAGAGCACTGAACATGGATGGCCAAGAGAACAAAGAAATATGTCTTGAAGAGTGTGCACCTAGAGTGTTCTTTAAAGGCAATAATGATGAAGCTTTGCTTCACATACTTTGGGCATGTTGCAAGGAGGGGCTATTACTAAGAGAGGGACATGATGCTTTGAAGTTTGGGGAAGAGTGGGGAAGTAGAGGAAGACCCTCGACCAGGTGGGTTGACATGGTGACTGCCACAATGGGCTCTAATATGTCAGGAAGTTGGCTCAAGATAGAACAGGGCTCAGATCCACTGTTCATAAGGTCACTATGAATCATACTTGACTCAACAGCACCTAAAAACAACAACAAGAAGTTATAGTGTTTAAAATGTCAGGCTGTTAGCCAAAAACCTTGCAATTCAAGTCCACTGGTTATTTTATGAGAGAAAGATGCTCTACAGTAAAAATTTGAAACTCCAGAAAACCCAATGAGGGTGATTTTAAGTTAGAATCAACTAGATTATAGTGGTTTAACTCTTTTGTCCCTAGCTCCAACCATACTCCTTCTTTCAATCTTACGAAGTGTTTAATTGGTCTCCTTCTCCCACTCAGTACTCAATATATGTACAATCATACCCTCTGAATCATAAAGAGATCAAAAGGGGTGGGCCTATTGCTTTCTGGGATCAGCCAGACAGCCATATTCTTCACATATGCCTGTATAAGTCTTCCCTAAATGGTATTTTCCTCTTCTGAGTGTCTATTAATTAATTAATTAATTAATGTTCATTCTCTATGTTCACTGTTATAAGCTTTGGAGAAATAGCAGTGAACAATATAGACAGAGAGTCATACTTAAGTTAGGAAAAAACCCCACACAACCCAACAATAATAACAATACCCAACAAAATTTACTTAGCCTATGACTTGGCACCAGCAGCCAGGAAATTAAAAGGCGCATTGCAATGGGAAAGTCTGCTGTTAGGGACCTCTCCAAAGTAATGAAGAGCAATGGTGTCTCTCTGGAGACTAAGGTGCGTTTGATACAGGCCATGGTCTTCGCAATCACTTGTTATGCATCAGAGAGTTGGACAATGACCAAGGAGGATAGAAGGAGAATTGATGCCTTTGAGCTG